TAAGCAGCTGTGCGCGCTCCGCAGACGATAATCATGATCACTGTCTAGCACAACACCTGGAGCTAAGGGGGCAAAACAATCGCATGAGTGATGAATAAGTGATGATAAACAATATATACGCAGCGTTTTTTCCTCAATAGTTTCGTCACATTTACTGTCTAAGGACAGCGCTAGCAAGCACTCTCTGCTTATGACCCCACAAAAAAACAGAGGACGTTTTAGGAGTGATGGCGAGTGAGAGAGAGAGAGAGAGAGAGAGAAAGAGCAGAAAAAGAGAGAGAGAGAGTCTTAGTTTTGTGGAACTGAAAAAGTAAGATTTTCTTGTTTATGTGCTCTTGCTGCAAAACAGATGTACTGATATTGAAACTGGTGGTTTCAACTGGTTGTGGAGTTGCTGTGGGTGTTGTCTTACTGGGATGTGTACTTGTGAGGAATCTGAAAAGAATTGGTGAGAAATGCTGTTTACTTTTATTTATCTTTTAATGATCTTCAAATACATTTTTTATTTAAATATTGATGCTGCTTTTCTTGCACAAAATTGAGAATTAGAAAAAATTATTTTAAAAACAAATTGTATCAAGGTTTTTCCACTTTTATTTTTACAAAAAAAAATTGTATTGGGCATGGAAGCTCATAGTTTTGCGTGTTGTAGCATTATAATTCTAAAGTAAATATCTCAAGCCTAAATTACAGCTCATGTCATATGACTTAAAACTTAAGCTTCTGTGTCTACTGATCAGAACTGGTTTGTTTAGTTTTACTTTAGTATTTCTTTTCTCCAATATTTCCTTATGGATCATGAAAGTTGTTTGATCAGCAATTACTTTTATGTTTTCTTTTTTTTTTTTAATAGTTCCAGTAAATTCTGTTACCAGCAGGTAAGACATGCTTTAACCTTTTCTGCAACTGTTTCCAATGGTTTCTGTATTATGTCCATGAAAATAACTGTCTGGTCGTTTTTTCTTGTAGCTCACAAGCCCACTGCACTGGTAATGTAAACGCTAAGTGACTTTAAGCTTTTTGCAATTCTTACCTATAGTATATACTATGTTTATGTTTATACTATTTTTTTTTTTTTACTTTCAATTGTAGATGGCTTAATGAACACAACACATCTTGGACAAGTGGTAATTAAAAACAAAAGCTCTCAATATAACATTCTGAGTTAGTGGCTCTGAAAAGTATCTGGACACTTCAAGCTGTGGCAGATGGGTACTTTTTGAAGTAATTTTTAAAAAAATCCTTTAACCCCTTTCAAAATACTGAAATTCACGTAGTGTCAATGGAATGACATGTTTGCACTATGTCATTCTAGTCACAAATAGGCTTTGTGACTAGAGAAATTTTAAACTGTGAGCAGTCACATGTATTTTCAGATAACATTTATGAGTAGGGATGGGAATCACTTCTTGCAGAGAACTGGTTGTACCTTTGAATTGTTACTCTGCTTGCCTGTAAATTTGATTAAAGGTCCCACTTATACTATAATCATCTGATTTCAGTCCATGTGTTAGAGGTGAACGATAGTGACACAGTCTACAATTCAGATTTGGACCTTACTTTTATTTTTGTTGAACAAATGGACAAGAGTGCAATGGTAAAATGCATACTCCATCCAGAATAGAAACAACTGCATTATAGTGCAAATAGAACTTCGGCTCTTTACAAGTATGCTAATGATAAGCTAGCCAAGAATCCATAGTGACATTAAATCTGAGTGGATGCCAACTGCAGCAGCAGTGAGACCCTGAACTTCAACAGGTAAAAAAAGCAATGATGAACAGTAAGGCTGGACATCATTTCTACCACCTGTTCATGTTTCTAAAGGAGAATCACTACTGAAGTCTCTTTGTGCTGGGTTTTGTGTTGTCAGAAGTGTTGCGTTCATACCGATTCATTAACCTCCTAGGACCTGGCGTCCACATATGTGGATATCACATTTTGGGTTATTTAGACCAAAATACTCAATTTTGCTCTACAAGGGCCTGATATCCACTTACAAGGACATTATACTGCTTCTGTTCTATCAAAATTTTAAACGAATATCTTCATATGTGGCTCTCATTTTTCTTAAAAACAAAAATAAGGAAAAAAAAATCTGGTAATTCTTTGTTTTTACATTCATCGGGCCCCAATATGTCCAAATATCAAAGAGAAATTAAAAATGCATGCTGTGGAAGAGTTCGGGTCTTAGGAGGTTAAGACAAAGATTGCATGTGTCTCCTCATTAGTATAGGCGGGTCATCCCCTTTGTCCCCAGACTCTGCTTCTACCACAGAAGACATGCCAGTGGGATTGAGGAGATCCTCGAAGTATTCCTTCTGACAATTCTGACAATTTTCACAGCTGAAGTCAGCAGCACTCCACCCACACTATACACAGTGCAGCTAGAACACTGCTTTCTTCTCCTGAGTTGCCTGACGGTTTGCCAGAATGTCTTCGAGGCAGTCCGAAAGTCTTTTTCCATGGCCTCGCCAAACTCCTCCGACACCTGAGTTTTTGCTTCAGCCATCATCCGTGCTGCATTCCACTTGGCCTGTCAGTATCAGCTGCCTCTGGAGTCCCACAGGCTAACCAAGCCCCGTAGGACTCCTTCTTCAGCTTGGTGGCTCCCCTCACCTCTAGTGTCCACCATTTGGTTCGGGGATTACCACCACAACAGGCACCAACTACCTTGCTGCCGCAGCTCAGTGCAGCCGCTTTGGCAATGGAGGTGCTGAACATGGTCCATTTGGACTCAATGTCCCCAGTCTCCCTCGGAATGCTGTTGAATCTCTGCCGGAGGTGTGCATTGAAGATCTCGCGGACCGGGGCCTCTGCTAGACGTTCCCAGCACACCCTCACTGTACATTTGCGCGCACCAGGTCTGTCCAGCGTCCTCCCTCGCCACCTGATCCAACTCACCACCAGGTGGTGATCAGTTGACCGCTCAGCCCCTCTCTTTACCCGAGTGTCCAAAACATATGGCTTAAGGCCTGTTGATACGATTACAAAATCGATCATCGACCTGTGGCCTAGGGTTCAGATCCGGGAGGCCGTCCCTCCCAATCACGCCCTTCTTGCTGTCATTGCCCATGTGAGCATTGAAGTCTCCCAGTAGGACAACAGAGTCCCCAGGAGGAGCACCCTCCAGTGCCACACCTAGGGACTCCAAGAAGGTACTCTGAAGTGCCGCTTGGCATAAATGTTACCTTCCCTGACCCGAAGGCAAAGGGAACAAACTCTCTCCTACTCTGGGAGAAACCCCATCATACCAGCACCAAGCCGAGGGGATACCAAAATACCCACCCCAGCCCACCGCTGGGCATTGCTTTTAAGAAAACTTTCAGTGTAATACTTTTGTTTTGTTTTTTTGAGTCATGACCCCAGCACTAATCATAACAAGGAGGGGAAATACCTCCAGTATGCACAAACAGAGATCAGTGATGTACACGATTTCCACACTCAGTAATTATTAGAGTCAATCCATAGAAGAACATTTTTGGCATTGTTTGGGTTATTATGTTACATGTTTGATTTGTATAAGATGTTATGAGGGAAATATATGCTGCATGTCAATTTGTGTCAGGTAAGATGAACATTGTACATGTGTGGTAGGGGGATAGAATGAGCCAGCACAGCACTGGAAATGTGTGCTGTACAGCAAACAGTTTTTTGAGCGTGACATCATGATATGATAGCTTTGTTAGTCAGAAATAAACCTGGAGAGCTCACATTAAGAAGTGGAAGAATTATTTTTTCAAAGTTTGGGACAGAAATTCGCCATTACAATAAAATTGTAATTAAGGAGTCTGAATGATTTCTGAGCTGTCTAAAAATCAGAAAGTTTGCCTCAGATTTATTTTTTCTCTCCTGAGCCTAGGCAACATCCCTTTTTTTGAGGATACTGGATAGCTGAGGAGAAAGCAAGGACTGTTTTGGGAGTCAGATGGGCACATGTTTATTTATAATTTTGATAAACGCATCATTAAAGAATTTCCATGCCTGCTCTATAACAGTGATGTGGAGCTGATTCTATTCCAGTTATAGTTCCATAAATCACGAGAGAAAGCTTGATCACAGAAATGGTTAAAAGTTCATTTAAACACTATTTGTGCAGCTACCACACAGTGGCCACTGATATCATTTCCAAATCTTAGGTAATAAATATAATCTTAAATGCTTATATGCTGATTATATTGGAGAGGCCCAGACTTCAGTGTAAAACTAGGTTGCAGGCTGACAGGAAATTGCATGCTTTTGCAGAGCGAGCTTTTGCAGCTAGAAAGTGTGGTGTGACGTAGAGAGCAAGTATATAAATAACTAGGCTTCCGTTTGTGCTTCAGACCTGGGGTTGTGTGTTTTGTGCTCAGGTCTCCATATCCCGGATATGTAAAATAAAGATCATTTTTTAAAGTAAAAAGACCAGTTTTGAGCCGTGTCTTTCTTGGCCCTAAAGAATCCAAAAGAATTTAACACAAACCAGAGTCTCAGTTAAAAATAAATAATTTTCTGGGCATTTAAGATTTGGGTGAGTTTTAGCTGTAAATTAGTGTTAAGTCAAATTGTTGAATGTTGTCATTGTGTTTCTTAAATTTGTAAAGTCTTAGTTCAAACTATAGGATCAAAGGCATTCCTTTGTCTGACCACCTCCCCAGCCAAGGTTCTGGGAGGAGGCTGTAGTGTTTTATCACAGACACATCCCATGTGAAGATTCTGTTTGTTGTTTGGTAAACGTCCTGCCCTTTTATGACTTCACCTTTGTTGTGTATGGTGTACCAATACAGGAATTGAACCATATACTGGGTGTGGGGAGATTACCCCCTTATGACCAAGGATGTTGTGATCAGGAGGACACACACACACACACACACACACAGTGTCTTGGAGCAATTAGTTTTGTAGACATAGACTTAAACTCTCTGAGGAACAGAAGACAACCAGTTAAAATCTCCAGCCAGGAGAATTTCATTAAGTTCCATATGAAACATCACAGAAGTTTGGTGTTGAAGTGTCCAAATTCTTTATGGGGCCAATTTCCAGTATGTGTATTATAAGGGTATCAGGTTAAATGTATTGTTACAAATAATGTTTTTCACTATTCCAAGTTTCCCATCATCTCTTCAATAATTATCCTCTCACTTCTGCCTTATTTTGCTTTTTCAAACTAGTCCCCTCCAGGAAACGAGCAATCATACTCTATATTCACCTCAGTACCTGCTGCTGATCCAGGTGAGCTTCTTTGTATCCTTATTTGTAAGAATGTAAACGATACAATTAAATGGCAAGTTCTATAAAACCTCAAAAACCCTTTTCTATAACATGCTTCGCATTAAAGATTTTCCTTTTCAGTTGCAGATTCTACTCAAGAAGATGGACAGCAACTTCAAAACAATGAAGTAAGTCTGTCACAAGCAGAGGTAGCAAAAGTATAGACATTCTTAAGCAGAAGTGTTAAAGAAATTAACACTGGAGACAGTGGAGAAAAAAAAAGAAAACAAGATGTACATTTGCAAACATTTTGTGAGATCTCGTGTTACTTCTGTGAGGTCCCACAAGTCCATGCACTTCCAGGTCAGTACTGAGACCTTGGAATCAACCATAGCGATGGAAGACAAACACGTGCGGCTTTGCCTAAATATGACAACATTAAATCAGTGCTTGGCAGTACACATGGTTTTTATAATTAAAGATTTCTGAAGACAGTTCTTAGTGTAAGCAGGCAGAGTCGTCACAAGGAGTACTCTGACCTGGCAGTTTTGGTTGAATTCATTAACTACCACCTGAAGTACTTTGAAGCTCCAATATCAAGTACAATAAATGCAGGGGGGAAAAGCATTTCTCAATCTCTTGCCAAACTTTTGCAGGATCTTGCAAAAGTACATCTTTTTGTTTTTTTCTCCCATGTCCCTTGCAAGGCTCTGTACATTTGAAATTATCTGCCTCATAAAAATATTATACCCTTATCCTCACTCCTCTTCTATAGCTAGCTAGATGCTGAAGTACCATGATCACAATTTGTGCCCATCTGCACTTGTCCCGGTGTTTTGCCATAAAAAGCACTGGCCCACTTTAACACCTATGGCGCTATAAATAATGCAAAAATACAGTAAATGCAGTAATGTGAAATAATAACTCCCTTCAAATGTCCTAAAACAAAAGTAACAAGCCAGTTTTGAAAATGTAAGATGCAGAAAGTGTTAGTTGTGTTAAAATGTAAGGAGTAAAAGTGAAAAGATGTTAGAAAAATAAATGCTTAAGTAAAATACAGATACCTTAGAAGTATTTGTACTTTGTTACTTCCCACCTCTACTCACAAGGGTAACATTATATCTGCTGGTCATATAAGTTAATAGGTAATACAGTTTATTTTCTCCCCCCCAGTCTGACATATACCATTTGTACTCAACGATCCCCAAGGAGCCAGCTACATCAGCCCTGAAGAGTATGGTGTATAGCACTGTGAACCCTATGTACACCTCTGTGAACTCCGTGTAAACTGCAAATAAAAATTGTTTTAACTTGACTGCCTTAAGACAGTTTGCTAGCATAAATGTTAAATTCCTGATTAAATTAAAATGTTAAAACAAGTGTTGTTTTCTAATGTGTCTATTTTATGCTCAACACATTTTTTGTAATGTTTCATTTTTTGATATATTTTGTTTTTCCTCCAGGACTGTATATACAGTAAATAGCATCGCATTTATATTCATTGTCTGCAATACAGCTACACAAACTCACCCACACAAAAAAGTAGCTTAATGTGTAAATGATGGAAAATATTTATTTGCATTTATTCATCAGCTTTCCTAAACATGTAGTTACGAGTATGTGGTCACCTTGACAAATGGCTGAACACATCAATGCCACATTCTTCAAACACACTGCTCTTATTCATGCATCTTGTACTTTTCTTAAATATAATTTGCTTAAAAAAACAGAATAAAGCCATTTAATATTTTCCAATGTCTCGCTACTATTTTACATGATCCATTACAGACATCAAAGCAAATTTAGTAAAACAAATAAATTTTACTAAATAAATTGTTTTAACAAATCATTACTGTTTTCCTGACACAACAAATAATCAAACATTTAATGTCTTCCTGTGCACAAAGGCCCTTGTCTTAGACTTTGAGCAAAGCACTCTCACTTGTTGAGAGGCATTCTGTTTCTTTCTTCTAATAAATTCAGCACACATGTAGAGCAATTTTGCAAACTCTATTTGGTATGCTTTGCTGTGCGCTGATCAAAGTCACCAAGCACTCCTGTTATTCTCATTTTCTTTTGTTCTCTGCATTAATGGATGTGTCTCAGTGCTACTGATTTTGTCTTTGTAGAGTGCTGCCTGTATTAGACGTATGAGCAAATTCATGTTTTTATGTGTCTATAAGCTTCTTCTCATTGAATTAGTCCTTACTGATTTCCACTGCAGCTGCTATTGGTCACCTGCTGATGGTCGCTGTTATCAGAGGCAGCAGAGCTGCTGCTAGGGGACCAGAGAAGCGTGTTGCTGAACCACACTCCATGGCATTTTCCTGTAAGGTACACAATCAATTGTCATATTGCAGTACACGTGCTTTTTAGTAAACTTATCAGCTGTATTTGGCTATGACAGTACTGAATATAACTTTAGATAACTTTTTTAATAATGTTAACTTGACCCATATAATGTTATTTATATATAGAAACAAAGTGAAATAATTATTCAGTGACATGGATGAGAACGATCGCCCTTGGAATTGCAATGTACACGTGAAAAATACAGATGTGGACAATCAGGATTTCAAAAAAACAAAGAAACCAACCCTCTAAAATTCTGGGATGAGTTAACAATTCATAGCTGAAAATTTTAAATATAAGATTTATGTACATTTTTATTAACAGATTAGTTTTTAAACATTTAATGCTAGAAGAGGATATGCCATCATCACTCCACATTGTGTTTGGACTGGCCTTTCATATACTACTGTAGCCCACATCTTAAAAGAAGCAAGCCAGTGGGTTAAAAATCAAGTACCAGCTCCCTATTACTACTACCACTTTAACTACTATCTCTAAAGCTAACTTACTATTATATTATTATAACATTATTATGTTGTTCTTACAGAAAGAAAACAGTTTCAGTGATGTTATATGGAATTATATTACCATTATCACATTTTCATAGAGTAGCACATAACCTTATTTGTATTTCCTTTACTGTCAGCTTTCACTGTATTGATGTTGACCCGCATACATACAGATAGTGTGTGCAGATAACCACTTTCACATACCTCAGGGTGGAAAGGATGACATGATTCAGGCTTTTTTCTGTCCTTCTGATACTTCAGTCTCTCACATTTTAGTGACTCATTGTGTTCAAAGGAGTCAAGGGTGTAAGAATAAATCAACAAGATATGGTGCTAAGTTTGAAACCCAACTAACATGCATTAAACCTCACTTACCCTAAACCACAACTTCAAATTTAACCCTAAGTGTAATCATCTCAATAGTAAACCCCTCAAGATGAAATTCATAATGATCACTTTTTCTCACAGCCAGCTAAACATATTTAGGAAAAAAAAAAACTTTCAGCTATTTTGTTTCAGTTCATGAAATGTCTCTGCTTCATACAGAAAGGATATATATGATCTCAATGGGATCCATTGTCACTGGAGGAGCACTGCTGCAGTCACACTTATTATCCACAACAACCATGAACAGGTTGCTGCTGGGAATCTGCTGTATGACAAAAGATCTGCAGCACAAACACAAAGTCAAATTTTTAAAAAAAGTTTAATGTTGGTTAAATATAATCAGATGATACTATTAGATTATTATTTCATGATTAATAGACAGTTCACTTTGCAGCACCTGATGCAGCCGTCGCACTCAATGTTTCCAGTTGTTTCTTTGATGGTGCGTTCAGACACAAATGCAGGGTATTCTGTATCACATGGTACCATCATGGTTTTACCCCGAGATCTCTGAGCTGAACGTGAAACAGAGCAGGTTTAACTGAAACACAGAGGCTTTACAAAATCAGCATTAAGCAGAAGAGGTTTTCTTTCTGCCGCTCATACTTTCCAAATATTCTCCCTCTCTCAGATCTCAAATGCCTATAAATCATCACAAAGTTACAGTTACCTTTAACTGAGAGATCAATATTCCACCAGCTGTACAGGTTAAATTCTAGCAGGAAACTAAGAGAAAAGCAGAAACATAAAACATAATCAGTGTTTGTGATGAAAGTTATGAGAACAGAGTAAACAATACTAAACAAATATTTTATCAAAAATTCTTACATGACAAGTTCAGTCAGAAGCCATTTAACTACAGAAAATGGCTAAAAGACAAAGAAAAGATAAGGTCAGCTTTTTTATTTGCTTTGTTTTGTATTGATTGTTGTAAATGCTGTAGTTCATTTTCCACTTGTTCAACATGCATCAGCAGCATGCTAATGATAACCACAAACTGAAATATGTTCGATGGCCAGTGGTTTAGTTTGAGGACATATGCAACTGTAGATGTTGTGAACCACAGATTATAAATATCCTTTTACTTCTCTTCCTCTAAACGCTGTCTGTTGCACACTTACATCTGACAAAGTGCGTGCACTGTCACTGCTCCCAGCATACTCTCTGCAAAGGGCCTGGTAGTCATAAAGAGTGATCCTGAAACACACACAGCACAGTGAAGGTCTTAATAAACATCCGATCTCATCATCATCGTCGTTTATTTACATAGCACTTCGAAAACACACCTGGTAGACCAAAGTGCTGTACAATAAAAATATAAATATAGTAATAAAATAGCAAAAACCAAACATAGCAATAAAATGAATAAAAATGTCAGTTACCCACAGAGTCAAAAGCCAGGGAGTAAAAATAGTTTTTTTTTATCTGGACTTAAAAACTGGCACTGATGTAGCCTGTCTAATATGGAAAGGAAGAGTATTTCAAAGCATCGAAGCCGAAATAGAGAACACTCGGGCTTCTCTAAGTTTCAGCCGTGACTTAGGGACTGAAAGCAACAGCTGCTCAGCTGACCGAAGTGAACGAATGGGGACGTGGGGCTTCAACAAAACAGACAACACAAAAAGTCCAGTTTGAGAGATAAGATTTTAACCACAAAAGTGCCGAACCAGAAATTCCCGCACAGTGGTGTAAGCGGGAGATCAGCAAATCGTGATCCACTGTGTCGAACGCAGCGGTCTTGTCCAACAAGACAAGCACTGCATATTTACCACGGTCTGTCGCTGTCAGAATGTCATTCATAACTTTTACGAGGGCTGTCTCCATACTGTAAAAGGGCTTACAGCCGGACTGAAAGATCTCAGACAATTGAGAGTCATTCAAATAGTTCATCAACTGAGTATAAACAATCCTTTCTAGGATCTTACTCAGAAAGGGAAGCTTAGAGATGGGTCTAAAATTTGACATGACTGAGCTGTCTAACCCTGGTTTCTTAAGTAAAGGATGTATGACTGCATGCTTAAATTTGTTAGGTACTTAACCAGACAAAATACTAGTATTAATGATGTTCAGAATGTGTGGTCCGATGGTAGGAAATACCTTTTTGAGAAAGCGGGGAGGAACAACATCATTTGGAGAGCCACACGGCTTAGATTTCAACACAGTTTCACTAAAACAGGTAAAACCATTGGTAGAAAAGCAAGGACCATGCATGCCAGATCAGCAGAGGTCTCAACCTAGCAACCTTGTCCACAAAATAATTAAGAAACTTATTGCACATAACCTGAGAAGAGTGCAAAAGAACATAGCCTTCTGTATTAAGTACATAATTTATAGTGTTATAGAATACACGAGGGTGATGCGAGTTGGCAGCAATAAGTTGAGAAAAATAGGAGTACTTGGCAGCCTTTGTTGCTCTCTGATAGACGTTCACAACCGTGAAGGAGAGTGGCCCAGTTCGCACAAACAGAGTTGAAAACTGGTGTGGCGTGTTGAAGGGGATAGCTGCTTAAAGTCAAGATGTGCCTTATTGTCATATATAGCAACATGTTTTTTAGCCTTTGAGTTTAATTTATTAGGTTAAAGCTCAACCAGTTGTTTAACTGTGTCTCAAACCTTTTGAAGGATCCCATTTGTAGCAGTTTGTTCATAACAGCACCTTCCACCTCTCCAAAGAAAAGCCCTGTCTGAGAGAGAAATGATGTCAAAGCACACCAGAAAGCATAAAAAATGATTTTAATTTCTTTAATTGTGTTTTATTTAAGCAGCATTAAGCATTCACAAAGAAACATGAGATGCAAGCTGGCTTTTTAGGGCATCAGCATGTAAATAGCGTCTACCACAGCGAGGTGGTAACCACTGAGAAGTGGTCAGCTAAATGTTATGTAGTTATTTCAGTACAGCAAGCCGGAGCTATTTGTTCTTGGTCTGCAGCTGAAGGTTATGTGAATGCTCTGATGCACACAATGTAGAGCACTTATATTACCAGATGTTACTTAATGTTACTAAACTTGGGATTTTCTAAAGTGGTAAATGCATAGTTCACTCTTCCACTTTAATATTTCCTTTTGACACTAATGCATTTCAAGACTCAATGGAAAGCCTTTAAAGGAAGAACTTAATGAATAAATATC